AGATTGCAACAGAAAAGCAGTGTATGAATGCTTTAGAATACAGTAATTGTGTAATACTTATGCTACAGAAGCAGAACAAGTAGCAGTTGTATAGTTTGTAATAAGCAATAATCCACGCAAGACTTGTAGATTCTTTAACATCAACACTCCAAATTGATAGTTATGCCCAAAAGAATGCTGTTTTGATAAGTGGATATTTGGCATGGCAACTTCATAGCCATCTGGCAGCATTACACAGGAAGTTCGGGTTGCTTTTTTGTTCACCAAGTCATGGATGACTCAGAGAACAAGAATGAGAAGTCAAAGTCCCTTGCCCATATCACTATGGGAGGTAAAGCTGGTATTTGTGCTCTATAGCTCTTTTAAGGGTTCGTGGAATTCATGTCATTTTAAAAGCTACAACTGTTTTTATCCAAGGAAGTCTTGCTGCACTTATCCAGTTCAAACTTTAGGAGTTACAGGAAGCTGCAGGAATTCATTCCTTCCATTCTAAGTGATAGACTGAACCAATAACCCAGAAATTAAGAACACTGAACAGCTAGTTTACTTACATACTGTATCAAAAGCTAGTTACAGGACTTGGAAGTTAGACAGCCAATGCAATGGCAGTGAACTTCCCTTCCAAGGAGATATAGTTACCTATATAACACCTCAAATGTCACTATGTTTACCTTCTGTACAATCCAACAGTTGCATGCCAAAACTATAACAGTACTCAAACAGTCCAGACTGCAAAGAGCAGCTCATATCTGTAAAATAGCTGGTGTTCTGAAGGACAGCTTTTTATTGTCAGTTTTACCAAATCTGCAATGTTAAATATACAATGGGCAGTTATATGCCCCAAGAGTACAGCTGCCTAGAATGTGTGACCCAACAATCTAGTCATATACTCATCTGCACACTAGTTAAGACTCTACATCCAAATATACAGAAACATGATAACATGTAAACAGATTTCTAAGCCTTTTGCACCTTGTATCTTTTTTCTGGAGTACTAGTTTATAAACCTGAATTTGGCAACATGGCTTTCTAAAGTTACTGTGCGTTTTATGTTGGCAAGTTTAGTCAATTGCTTTCAGATATTAAATGCATTATTTTTACATTTCCACTTGGATACATCCACATTTCCAGCTAATGTAACTACTCTGCCACAAGGAACACCACTGTTACTCATTTCCATGATGTTGAGAGTGAGTCTTTTCGTACTAAGGCTCCCATCCAAAAGTCTCAAATCTGAGGCCAATTACTTGGTCAATGGCAAACAAGATTCTGGCTTTCAAGGATATAGTGCTCAGGCAATCTTAAGTAGTATATTAATCCCTTAAAATAAAGAGTCTGCTTGAGTTTGATATTGCACTGGTTGACAACTGTTGCATGCAAGATAACCAAAATTATAAAACTCTTCAGATTTATGACTGACACCTTAAAGCAGTCCTGCTG